GTTCAATAAAAAAAGATTATTTTGTGATATTGTATGCGTGTATCTATGGTCAGTGATGAAACATTATAGAGATTATTTTGAAGATGATTTATCAGAGAGAGTTCAGGATTTATTTGAATGTAGATATTAAACAACATAATTATAATGTAATTGTATTTCATAAGAAGTTATGGAGTATGATTATATTATAGTTATATATTATATTTTTTTGGAAATATTTTTTTAGGAAAAAAAGGTATTTAAAGAATTATCATATTAATATATTATTGTAATGAGCGATACAGAGAGTGATACAGAGAGTGATACAGAGAGCGAAGTAAGAGACTATGATAGTGATACAAGTGAATATGACCATAAAGGACGATACAATCATCGTTATATGTGCGAAATCCGAAAAGAGATGGTAAATGTAATAATAAATTGTAATCAATGTATTGAATTAAAAATATTATGTAATCGTATTAACATGTTGCCAGAAATAACAACAAATATTAAAAGTTTTACTTGTTGCGGTAGATGTGCCAAATTGTATAATGCTATATCAAATGAAGCAAAAATACCTAATTATTATACTTTCAACTGTCTTGACCGAATGGAACAATATTATTATGTTAATTTAATTCCTTTTCCTACTTGTGATAAAGCAAGAGAGATATTGAAAATGAATGAAGATTATCAGGAGCGTCTTCATAAAGTGTTTGAAAAATTATATTACAATATCTATAATGACGATGAGATAGACGAATATACAAAAATTGTCTTATTTAATGTAAATATGGGCGAATAATATAGTCAATGTGATAAAAAGCAAATATTAGCAAGTATCTTTTCAGACCTTCTTAAATACACTTGTAAAACAAATAATAAATATGATAGGATATGTAAAAGTATGATTAATAGCGTCGCTTATAGACAAGGTATATTAATACATTATTAAGTTGTTGTAAAACTATATTTCATAAGAAGTTATGTAATATAGTTTTATTATAGTTAAATTCTATGAGGATGACCTTGCCCATTTTCGGAGGTTAAGGTGGGGTTTTTGGAAGGGTTTAAGGGTTGAGGCGTTGAGGGGGTGAGAGTTTGAGAGATGGTTTTTTTGGATAAGGGTATGTGGAGGAGTTGGTGTTATATTAGGGTCTTAGGGTGGTTTTTTTGAAGGGGTTTAAGGGTTGAGGCGTTGAGGAAGTGAGGGTTTGTGAAGGGTTTTTTTTTAGATAAGGGTGTACGAGGGCGGTTTTGGGGCGAAATTGGAGGGTTAAATTGGTATGTAGTTATGGAATGAGGTATGAACCATAGGGGGGGGGGCTGACGGTTGAAAATAGGCAAGGTCATCCCTAACTGATGGTTCTACGACTCTTTGGTCACGGGGCAAAGGACGCCGGCTTATGTCGGGCTCAAGCATTTTCGCCTACGGAAAGCGAGGATGGTCGTCTTGGCAGCTGAAACGGTTTCGGATGTGCCACTTGCTTTGGATTAAACTGATGAAGGGTTGCAGGTTTGCAGGGCCCAAACTTTTGTGCATGGGTTTCTGGAAATGGAAGACCTCGGCACAAGAGTTCGATGCGTTCCCTTCTCTAAGGCCTCTAGGGCTTAAGCCCAGAGGATCCTAGGTACTGTTATGGGGGATACTTTCCCAAATCATGTTTCAGGATTCCTACTAGAAACCCCACGTTCTGCCAAACAGGTACTTTGGACCCTTTGGGGAGATGCAACCCGGCTCAGGATCGCGTTGCACAGGGGGCGCAGAGCGAAAGCTGAATCTCAGATTTAAGCCCCAAGATCGCTAAATCCAAAACCTTGAATACCACCTGCGAAATATCTTAAACTGGATCATACCAGGCTGAAAAAGCAACACACACACACACACCCTTAACCGAAAGCCGTGAAACCTCATGGCTGAACCCAAAACCCTAAACCCCGAAGCCTAAATTTTTAAAAAACCAAAACACAGCCGCCCTAAACCCTAAACCCTAAACCCAAGCTCGTGTTTGAGAACCTTTTCCTTGGCTGTCCTGGCTCCGATCACTTCTGCACTGGGTAGCGCTTCTGGGCCTCTTCCCAGCTTTTCCTGAATGAGACGGTTTAGGGTTTAGGGTTTTAGGGTTTAGGGTTTAGGGTTTAGGGCTTTAGGGTTTTAGGGTTTAGGGTTTAGGGGAATGTCGATTCGAGTCGAGTTTGACGAAGGCTCGGGCATTAAGGAGATTGTCGAGGTCAGGGCTTTTGGACTTAGAACGGTTTACCTCGGGTTACGAGCTGAAACCCTGAACCCTAAACCCTGAACCCTAAACCCTGCACCCAGGTCCTGTTGCAGCAGAGGTCGTCCAACAGCTCCCCAATTTCTGCGGCGGGAAGCCGGATCTGCCTTGGGGGAGGACGGCATGTAGGGTTTAGGGTTTAGGGCCTAGGGTTTAGGATTTAGGGTTCTGGAGTTCCAGTGGGACTGTATTGTCTTCAGAGATTCAGGGGTTAGAGGTTTCGTCCGGCATGGATCAGAGCCTCAGTTTAAAGACTCTGACATCATCTTCAACTAGATCCAAGAGAATACCTCTCAAGTCGCATTTTTAACTTACCTGAAGCCAGCAATTCTCGCCCAATACTACACGACACTTCAGGAGAAACGGGCCCTCATCGTACTCAAGCAAGCCTTAAACCATACGATACCCTTTGAGGTCCATTATAGTACTCTTAAAAGGCTCCCTATGGTATCCTTAAACGGCCACTTATAGTACCCGAAAGAGGTCGCCTATACCCTTCACCTTGGTGCCGCATGGGATCTCCTCTGTCTTGACTTCAGGAAAGTGCAAACTCAGAGTTCAAACAGTTTGCAACATTGCCTCAACATGACCTGGGTTCTTGTTACAGAGCCGAGCTTTATTTTTAAGTTACCGTAAATATCACAGAGGCCTTAATGATTACCTATACTATTTGGGGGTTTCCTGGTTATACTTATAGTAGAATGGGCCCCAAGACTCTATTCTAATTCTATAATTATTGTAAGGCTCCTACACTAATCGGACTCTTGTTAATATGGAGCCTAATCTAAGCTACCATACTCGGGGTCTTCTTCTGCACGCCACTCGAGGTGTCGGGCGCTGAGCCTTGCCCAGCTTAACGACTCCAGCGGAAAATGAAAAGTCACGTAGGGGTTGAGGGATCAGGGTTTAGGATTTGGGTCAATTGGGCCGTGGCAGAAACTTTCGGCCAGTGCTCAGGGTTGCAATCTTGTTCTCGCATAAGCTTGCCCATACTTTACATACGCAAGATGTTCGATGAAAGTTCGGGCTTCCGACTGAAATCATTACTCACGAAAGGAGCCTGCCGAAAGGATGCCTCATGTTTTCAGAAGTGTTGCTTTCAAACTCTATGTGGGGATCCAAAGTATAAGCTTCTCTGTATGTCTCGAATAACCAATTCGCGTTTGGTTCGCCTTCGTTTGACTTCCATTCCTGGTGCACGGTTTATGATTTGAGGCCTTTTTGGTATAGATCTCTAAATCGGGATCTACGGTACATAACAGGTTCCCCCATTATGACAACTTAGACTGAACTCTTTAAGGAAAGCCTTAGTTAAGCCCGAGGTCCAAGCTCCCCAGGCAAAAACCCTGAAATTCGTTGGGACATACGAAGTAACTATGCGCATCTGTTACACGGTACACTGTCCGAAGGCATCGTATCCTATCAGGTTGTTGAGAAAGTCTATCAGATCCAGCCATTTTGTTCCTTTTCCTTAGTCGCTGAACTATCCTTATTTACGTACGTACGTACGGGCGTACATACATGTCTTCGTTCATTCATTCATTCATCCATCCGTCCATCCCTCCGTCTATCCACCCATCGATACATACATAGGGAGAGACAGAGAGAGCGAGAGAGAGAGACACTGTGTGTGTGTGTGCGCACGCATGTATATAAGTACAAATGAAGATCAAAACTACAAAGAACATTGTACATGGTTCAGCATATACATACATGCATACCGAATGTGTGTGTGCGCGCATGTGCGTGTGTATGCCGTTCGTTCGTGTATGTGTGTGAGTATGTGTATGAGTATGACTATGAATATATGTAGGTTTCTCTGTATGTACGTACGCATGTATGCATGCATGCATGTACAATGCATGTCGTATGTAAGTGTGTATGGAGGCATGCGTCTATGGTAGATGTGTGTATGTAAGGAGTATGCAGGTATGAGTGTATGTGTAGATAGGCATGTATGTAAGCATGCCTGCAGGCATGCATGCATGACTGTATGTAGGTGTGTACATGCTTATGTGTGTAGTTGTGTATGTATCTATGCATGCATACATGTATACATGTGTGGATGTAAATGAATGCATGAATGTATGTTTGTAAGTACATATGTATGTAGTTACGCGTCCATGGACGGTTGGATGGATCGAGAAATGGGATTTTCCGAAAATAGGGGACCCTAATATAGTACCCTGCATGGTAGGATCCATATTAAAAGGACCACCGATAAGGTACCCCCTATTTTCGGAAACTCCCAAATATGTGAACAGTTAGCTGGTGACAGGACACGAACTGAGGGTCGGGACACCATGGAGTCTCGCTCCCGAAGCGTCACGGTGCTGTCCTCTAGCACATCAAAGGAAAGAATTGCGGCAGCGTGGCTTATGTTGGTTGCAGCCTTGCGTTGTTGGACTGTTGAGGTACGAATGCTAAAGGCTCTCAGCAAGATCTTGGCACGGATCTCTAGTACTTATCTTGACAGTCACTGACAATGACAGTGACTACCTTTACTAAACCGTTCTGGTCCTCGCTTTGCCACTCTTCTAACCCCTGCTATTGTTGCGCTGTATGCTCACCAAGCGAACCCTGGATCTCCAGATACCTAGACAATCGGTTACTGGGCTTCAGAGTTCAGAACATCTGGTGAATAGCTTACTATTGGTGGGTACGGTAACTGCCCTTAGGGGGTCCTCCAGGCTCGTGAAATCAACCGTGCACGCGAACGGAATGCCCAGCTCATCGTTGCGGGCATACCTCGACGGAGGGTGTGGGCTTCGAGTAGACAGTCGCGCTTTTGATACTTGTGTGGACACCTTACGATTTTGATCTGCGAAGTCTTCTACAAGGAAAAGCTATACAACTTGGCTGCATGCCTACAGCGCACTCGAACCTGCATCATGTTTGCTCTTAAGGGTGGGGTTAGGGGGGGCTGGGTGTTTGTCCAGGTTCATGGTCGAAGGAGTAGTATGCAACATCGGTGCAGGGCACCTCTTTCCAAGCGTTGCATTGCTGTCATCCACCGTGCAGGTGTGGCCCAATTCGGTCACCTGACGCCAGCTGCATTCAAAGCAGGGCTTGGTAAACAGGGCAGGATTTGTCATATGCTGGCTCCCGCTGTGATTCCCATGCTAGCCTCACCGAGTCACAAGACACTGTCACACCTTGGCTGCCAACGTCATTGAAACCAGCACTACTTCGTCAATGGAGGCATTATCTCCAGTTGGAGTCTCCCTTAAGTAACCCTTCAAGAAATGGTGTGCGGTAGTATGAGCTCCGCCCTAAACCGACCGGCGCATGAACATCCAAAGTTAGACCTGGGACTTGGCCAGTGATTCTGCATAAACGGCTACCGTAAACCCTACACTCATGTAGCATTTGGCATCGGGTGCTCCAAGGCATGGCAACTGGACAAGCGTCAGCATACATTCTATCTGCATCCAGGCGATTCCTGCTCAGTAGACCTGAGGTCTGAAACCATGAAACCTAACGGTTTAGGGTTTAGGGTTTAGGGTTTAGGGTTTAGGGTTTAGGGTTTAGGGTTTAGGGTTTAGGGCCTACTTGGAGGATCATGGGACTTAGTAAGCAAGGTTATAAGGCCCCTAATGGGGGTTATAAGTGTAGCTACCTTAGTTATAACCCTACTTACTAAGTCCCATGATCCTTTAAGTACAAGGACTCCCAGACTCCAATTATCCTAAACCCTAAACCCTAAACCCTAAACCCTAAACCCTAAACCCTAAACCCTAAAACCCTAAACCGTCAATTCCAACCACCATCCCTAAAACCGGTTCTGTTCAGCTCCTTACTTCAAGTTATCATAGCACAGCCATGGGCTCCCTTAACCCCAAGCCATTAGCCTAAACCCTTACAAAACCCGTGTCAAGCCCTGAAACAAGCCCGTCTATTGTAAACCCTGTATGTAATGTAGGGGCCTTAGCAATTAGAATGTCTAGGGTTTTGGGATGTATTATACTATAATTACTAGTTATAACAAGGAACCCCCACCAAAAAAATAGTACAGGTATAGGTAGGGCCCCTACATGAAACTCTAGCCTAAACCCTAAACCCTAAATCCTAAACTCTAAATCCTGAATCCTGGGTACTTAGTACGGCCCCTACATTACTTAGGGGCTGAGCACCCTAGCCCAAAAATGGCTAACCTTTTCAATCATTGTGGGAATATATAAACCCCAAAAGGTTAAAGGTTCCCTACTCAGCCACTACCTATAATCTCCATTGTAGTTCCTTTTTGGGGATACCTTATAAACTCCTTAAAATATAGTTGGTTAAACCAAAAAAGGAACTACAATGGAGACTACAGGTAAGGTTAAGACCCTGAAACGTCGGGCCTGGCTCTGCATCGAGTACATGATCTCCGGATACTTCTCGTCACGCTGGATCCTCTGATCCTGTCAAGAGAGACTAAGGTGGGTTTAGGGTTTATAGGGTTCATGGGGTTTACAGGGTTTATAGCGCTTAGAGGGTTTATAGAGCTAGTAAGGTTTATAGGGTTTAAGGTTGAAGGCTTAGGGAAGAGAGATGTCAGGTGGGACGAAACCGCAGTGGTTCAGGGCATTCTAGGGTTTGGCTTTTAGGGTACAATGCATGACAACGAAGCAACGAAGTTGCAAGCATGCTGAGTATGCCGACAGCAGATCACAACACCTGTTTCGAACATCGATAGTGCGACTTGTGAACCCAGTGTTGTAAGTTGAAGAAACTGTAGGTATGCGTGTATAGAGTATACCATATCTGTGTATATTGTGGATGTCACCATAGTTATATATATATATACACACATAAGGCCGTATATATGTCACTGAAAACACAAACTCGAATATTTCTATTAGCTAATTACTTCTTATATTCTCTTGTGCCAACAGAGACCTTGAACGAGAAAAGACCCTCAGACCATCAGAGGAAGACGACAGCAGGGCCACATGCAAAGACCACTCCAACACCCACCTACCGACACCACCCTGAAATCGAAAAGACCGCGTACTCGCAGGTATTAGGAGCCAGAGATCACGAGAGGACAAACAGAGCGGCATTGCTAGGACATCTTTAAGCACCCCTGGGAATTTGAAGGCACCGGCCCGAGAGATCGGAAAATGCCGCGGTGCTAGGATCGACTCATTGGGGGGGTCCGCGCGATCTCAGAGGAGAGGGAGGGCCAAGGAAACGTCTGGGAGCACAATGCACATAACAGTATCACATCATAGTTCGCGGATGACGCAATGTTCTGACCGACCCACCACAACCCGACGATGCAACTGGTGCACCAGTATGTTGGGAGTACTTACACTAGATCATGGGACGGAACAGAAAAGACCAAACAAGCAAGATCAAGACAACGCCAGTCACGTTTGCACGAGCGCGAGAGAGACAGCATCATGCGGCAGCTATACTTGAACATACACTCTGCTTCTGTTGATGTTGGCACAGGCACAGGCCTGCGGCAAAATCGTCATCTTGTACGGTGCGATGGCGGACCTCGGCGGCAAAGAGCTGTAGTCAAAGTTTAGGGTTCCGGGCCCTGCACCGACGGTTCCCAAGCTACAACATGCTGAACAGGATCTCTGCAAAAGTCGCACCACCAGCATGGTCCCTGCCGAATTCTGCCGATTGCGGAGGAACTCCAAACCCTTTGCCCCGGCCGATGCCACGAGGTCAAAGCGGGAAGGCCAGGACACCTCGTGTCTGCTTTTCGTCGCTGGCTTCCTGCGATCCGAGACGCCCGGAAGATCTACATGCATGATAGCAACACTATCAAGATGGTCAACGCCGTGCAAGCTTCTACACACAGCCGATCAAAAAAAAAAGTCTGAACTCGTCGACTTGCGCGAAAACGGTACACGAGCTCTGCGAGGTCATCTCAGGCTTGGCGACGATGGCTACGAGCCAACCCTTCCAGACCATGTCCTGTGAAATCAGCTTTTGCGGTCAATAACAACAACTACCGAACTTGCCTGGCAACCGCAAGCTCCACCTCGATGTACTTACTTCGAGAATCACGGGAGTCTGAAGCTGCGCAACATTTAGATGCAGCCGCCACATCTCTAAAAACACAGGGTACATCCCGAGTGCAAGCAATCAAGTCCTACAACTCTTCCCTGCAGTAGGGCCCTAAACCCCAAACCCCTAAACCCTAAACCCCTAAACCCTAAACTCTAAACCCTGCAGTAGGGCAGGCTTCCTTGGGTCGCGCGTAGTAGGTGTGCTCAAGCACCGAGAAGAGTATCCTGTCGATCCCGAAGGAAGGCTCCACCACACCCGGGGTGAAGGTCGTGGTGGACTGCTTCTCCTGCTCCAGGGGCCGGGTTTAGGGTTTAGAGTTGCCAGGAGTGCTGGCATAGCGTTTTGAGATGCGGAGAATGGACTTCGAGGACGTGGGTTAACGGCTCGCATGCGCTGACAACGGCCTGGAGACAGGATAAGCCCTTTACAAGATCTCCAAGTGGTGGAGAATCCCTAAACCCTAAACCCTAAACCCTAAACAGTCCTTCTTGGTCTCGCAGACCAGGTGCTCAGCGAGAAATTTGCACTCCTCCATGGCTTGGGGTGGGGAGCTGGCTTTAACAATTACACTAGGGCTTTGGGGTTATATTATACTATAAGTATAATACAAAGAACCCTAAACCCTAAATCCTAAACCTTAAACCCTAAACCCTAAACCCTAAACCTTAAACCCTAAACTCTAAACCCCTATATTAGACGGTAAGTTTGCATTGAAGCTCGCAGACCTCGGATCGGAGCTGACAACGGAAGCCCCTGGGAAGCTCTTGGTGCCGAAACATACAAAGAGCCCAAAACCTTAGTACCCTTTTGGTTTAGGGTTCAGGGTTTAGGGTTTAGGGTTTAGGGTTTAGGGTTCAGGGTTCAGGGTTCAGGGTTTAGGGTTTAGGGTTCAGGGTTCAGGGTTCAGGGTTCAGTGGTTCAGGGTTTAGGGGAGCCCTATGCTAAATTCCATAGGCCCTATACCCAACAGCTCCCCCAAAAGTCAACCTCAACATCCAAGGTCGAGAGCCATCGATCTACTAAGTCCCGTTTTAGAGGCTTAGGGGGTTTAGGGTTTCGGGCGAGGGTTCCTAAACCCTAAACCTTTAAGACGATATGACCCTTAAAAGTAGGGGCCCTATACCCTTATATTATGAATCCCTTATATGGTATATGAACCTTAAAAACTTTTAGGGTTCATTTCGTCCTTAAGGAACCCAAAATCACGGAAAGACTGGCGCTTTTCGGGATACCCTAAACCCTAAACCCTAAACCCTTGGGGCTTGGAATTCAGGTCTTAGCTGGAGCTTCGTGCCTAGGGCAGGTCTGAGGGACGGAGGTCCGAAAGATCCTGGGAGATTCAGATTTTGGCGTTCAGGGTTTAAGGTTCAAGTCTAGGGCTTAATTTAGGGTCTGCTTATAGGGTTTAAGTTTAGGGGTTGGGGTTTCTGAGGTCAAGGATTCCCCTAAAAACCCTACACCCTACACCCTAAACCCGAAATCCCGAACTCCTGAACCAAGGATGCCAGACCGAGAGCACAACAAACCGCTGTCGCCTCGCTCTTGCCGTCTGGAAGCTCAACGCTCCTTGCTCCGAACCCCGAGATGGCTGGAGGTATTAAAGGTTGCATTAAAGGTTGTATCTCGGGTTTAGGGTTTACGGTTTAGGGTTTAGGTATCTCGGATTGAGGGTTTACGGTTTAGGGTTTAGGGCAAGAAATTGTATACTCGGGTTTACGGTTAAAGTTGCAATGACGGCAACCCCCCCAAAAAACCTGAACCCTAAGGCTGTAGAAACCCAAGCAGCTCACAAGCTACCTACTCAGCAGCTAAGCTTAGGATTTGCACTGGCAGCTTTATTTTTTCGCGTTTACAACCAAAAAAGGAGTTCCCATTTTTTGAAGTTGCAGGCTGCAGAAGGTTGCCTGCTTGGAGTCCCAGCTGCTCTTTGTGGTCGTCTTACTTGGTGATCTCCTTACTATAGGGTTTAGGGTTTATAGGGGTTTAAGGGTTAATGTAAGATGTAAGATGTTACATCCCAGGATTCAACTGGGACCCCAGTTTGTAACACAGCTTGAGCTTTAGGCTATCCCAGGACTCTGCAAGATGTGCGTGTCCGTGCGTGTCTGTGCGTGGCAGGGGTGAGTGATTTCGATCCCAGCAGCAAAGCTTTCAGCTTCATCCCCAAGCGCTTAGGCCCTAAACCCCTAAACCTTAAACCCTAAACCCCAAGCCCGAAACCCTAAACCCTAAACCCTAACCCCTAAACCCTAAACCCCAAACCCAAAATCCTACGCCCCAACCTGGACCGATAAACCCCAAGTTCCAGTGGAAACTCTCAAGCAGCGAAGGCTGCAGCCCAATCTGAACCTTACGGGACCCTACGGTTGGAGTTTAATAAAGGCTTGTGGCTTACGGCTTGGGGTCACAATAAACCCGAAACACCAGACTTTATGTCCTAAAGTCCTAAATCTCAAACCCGAGAACTACATCCCGCAAAAAGCACAAAAACCCCAAAACCCCGACGGACTCATGGGGAACCGGGGTCTAACACCCTCCTTTAAAAAACAAAACCTACTTTGGCGATAGTTGGAGCCCTGGGGGTAAGAATAGCTCTAATGTAGGGGCCTTCATAATTAAAAATAGGGTTTTGGGGTATATTCTACGATAAATATAATAAGGAACCCCCAAACTAGTATAGGTAAGTATTCCGTGCTGTCTTGTGTCAACTAAAGATCTTAAAAGGAGCCCACAGAGGAGAATAGTTTACTTGGTAAGGGTTAAGGGGCTTAGGGTCATGCTGGCAACAAGAATGAGAATTGGGGGCTGGGAATATTACATTCATTACGGTGGGTTTTTGGGGGTCGTATCAAGATTTGAGGAATTCGGTCCTGCTGGCGCTCCCGGCACTTGCATCTGCAATCAAGGTCTTGAGCTCATCTTGGGGTAGCTTTTCCAGCCACTCCTGGCGTGGAACCGCGGCTTGAGGCTTTGTTGGCTTCCGTGCCTTAGGGTTTTGCTTTCTGGGATTGAGGTTTAGGCCTAAACCCTACACCCGAAACCCCACGCCCTGAACCCTAGACCCTAAACCCTTGAGGTTCGGGGTTAGGCTCTCGCATTCTTGGCTTTCGTGCTATTAGGAGAGCCCATACAGTGGTAGCAGGGAAAGGCGCGGTATTCGTGCTCTTTGTCCCCTTGTTCCAGGTATTAAGCTGCATACTCGCGCTCCAACTTTCAAGCTTCTACTTTGTCGCTTGAGGGCTGCAGAATTCCACTAAGGTTTCGAGGTTTGGGGTTCTCGATTTGGCGGACTATGCTGCTTATGGGCTTATAGTACATAGAATTCCATGTTGCAGGATCAGTGTGCTTTTGACTTGTGAGTCCTCCCATCGCCTGTTTCTACTTCTAAAGCTTGGTGGGCAGAATCAAAGCCAGTGAGTGCACTTCGCACCCTAAACCCTAAACCCTAAACCCTAAACCCTAAAAACTAAACCCTAAACCCTAAACCCTGGCGGGAGGCAGCTGATGCTTGTGAGTCCGGAAGGCTTGGAAGCCTTGGGGCTCGGACACCTCCAAGTCATGTAGAGGCCTTAACAAATAGAATAGGGTTTAGGGTTTAGGGTTTAGGGGTTTTTGGGGCTCCATATTGCAACTATAGTAGAATAGACCCCAAACCCTATTCTAATCATGAAGGCCCCTATATTATGCAGGAGTGCCAAGCAGTGTGTCGGCCTCAACTCCTTCCTGCAAGCAGGCACTTAAACAAACAAAGGTCCACTGCCCAGCAGATCGTCTCACTCACCCAAGTTCAGATCTTGTCGAATATGGGAGTTTCCGAAAATAGGGGACCCTAATATAGTACCCTAAATAATAGGATCCCTATTATAAGGACCCCAAAATAAGGTACCCCTTATTTTCCGAAACTCACATATCAACAAGCCCATTCAACAAGCGCATCGAAGCCCGGGCAAAGCAGGCCAACAGCTTGCCTTGATAGGTCTTCCGTTCTTGCCGAAGGTCTTCATAACCTTGATGCCGGCTTCCTGGCAGCTTGGACCCTAAACCCTAAACCCTAAACCCTAAAATCTAAGATTCTAGGGAACCGTACTTGCCGTAGTAAACGAGACGATGCTGCACCGCGAAGCTCTTTTCACAACATGAATTCGCATGTAATGGTCCGGCGCGCTCGCGGAGTGGATGCCGACAAGTGCTAGGCTAGTAATTGTAAGGATACATCGAATAAGCTGCTGTGCGCACGCCATGACTGCACAGCACCCTCCGTGGCAGCGGAAGTGTTTGTGGCATACTGCCAAGTACTCATCGTTGCTCTGCAACGGCCTTCGGAGTCCTAGCCACCCTGTCCAAATTGTAAGTCCGGGCTTGCAGCACTTTGCTATGGCGGCTACGACTTCCGAGCACTGCTCTCTCCGATTTTGGCACTGCTGGGCTCGGCGACTTTATGGCCATTAGTGTTATCTTTATTGTTGTTGGTGCTCTCATTGTGATATTTACCGACAGTCTTGATTTCGGATGATTGGCACACCAAGTAACTGGCACTTCATCTTCGCCATACCTAAAATCACTGTAAGGGATGGACGGTACAAACCTCTTTCAGCCTCTGCCACAGTTCCTTTATTGGAGTTGGGTCTCATATCTGACAACCAGTGAAAGGAAAGCAAAGAGTTCCACGGAGCGGCTCCTTTATAAAGGGGAATCCCTCACTGACCGCAACTGCCCGCAGCAAGTCTGAGCTCGCCAGGGAGATATCGAAACATGTCCCCAGAGACTCCAATATCCCTTAATTAAGGAATATACCCTAAATTTTAGTAGGACCCCTAATATGATTTAGGGTATATTCCTTAATTAAGGGATATTGGAGTCTCTGTTCTGGGTCATTCCAAGATTCCAGTTGGAAGGCACCCACTCATTCTCGGAGATGGTTTACTGCACAAGTGCGAACAACAAACGTGAAAGGAAGCTGAAGTAGCAAGCTACAAAATTACTAGAGCACCGGGAACCTGTGCGCGTTGTCAAACTGTTCCCTCGAACATGACTTCCTCCAAGCATCGTCTCGGCGTAACACGTTGCGGAGTATGGTTCCTTTAAGATAGGAGAAATCTTGTGCTAGAGGGATCCGATGATGGAATTGAAGTGGCCAATGTGTTTACCGTAAACATCTTGGACGTCACCAGTAGCTCATTACTTTCACCCTCATATTCCTCATCACCATGAACCACATCATATTCTTCTTCTGGCATGCATCACCACGACCTTCTTAATCATCATTCTCACCCTGAACAGGACTGGCAGCGCCAACAGCGAAATCCCACCAGCGTCATCTCAACACTCATGAATAAGTATGAATACGATTACTACCCCTGTCAGTCATACCGCGATCCCCTACTGACTTCATACAGTAACAAGTGCAACATCATCAGCCGCTAACTAGAACAACAACCTCAAGTACTCAGCAAGCCAAGGTTGGCCACAGAGTTGCATGAGCGGGCATCGTCCTGGATGGAACCTCGTCTACCGATCAAGAGTGGAGAAGCAAACAATCTGCTGGTCCTCTGGAAGGCTCGACCCATCGGAGCTTTGACACTGAAACCTTCTCCTCCTACTCCTTCGAAAACAACTACTACGACGACTTAATACTGACACTACTGCTGATGCTCCTGCCCCTACAGCAGCGACGACGACTAACTACTACTACTACTACTACTACTACTACTACTACTACTACCGCCACCGGCTACTGTTAATATCACAGGTGCATAGTTCGTACTACTTGATGGCGTTCGAATATGTTACGAATCACTCACGACTGAAATTGGCGACGACTACTCTTCGACTAGTGTGACGACGACTATCTCCTACAGCTTCAAGACATCACCTAAGACGACGGGCATTGTCAGACTGCCGCCGCGACGACAAGTGTGGCTAAATACCAGTGCCACTACTACCAACGCCCACCGCGGCACCCCGCGCGAATGCTCAGATACTACTATGACCACGACTATGGGAAAGCTCCAAGGGCAGTCAGGGCCTTCCGTCAAACACCTAAGAGTGACTTGGGACAAGCGTTACATAAATCACAGGAAGAAGTCTTCGCATCATCGGAGCACCCTGGCGAGAAACAGAATTAAAGCCACAACCCGAAACCCTAAACCCTAAATGCTAAACCCTATATCCTAAACCCTAAACCCAATGCCTGAACAACTGCGCCAAGACTGCTTCCAGCATCACCCTAGCTCAAAGCCGGGTCTGACGGTCGATCTGCTCAATAATGTAGGGGCCTTAATGATTAGAATAGGGTTTCGGGGGTATACTGTACTATAACAATAATAATAAGGAACCCTTAAAGTAGAATCGGTAATTATTAGAATAGGGATTTGGGGTATATTGTACCTATAAGTATAACAAGGAACCCCCCCAAAAAATAGTGTAGGTAATGATTTAGGCAATTTAGGCCCCTAGAATAACTTCCGGGGCCCCATCCTTCCACAGTCGAAAATCGCTAAGAAAGGTTGAACTGCAGTGGGTTTAGGATTTAGGCAACCCAGACCCCGGAAGGACTTAGAAACGCCGTAACTAAAGACATTACCAAAGAAGAGTTTCAAGAACACTGAACATCTCCGGCAGGTTAAGGGGCAACGGTTGACGACGAGCGGAGCTGTGGGGCACATGTCAATCGATGGCCCGCCACTGACCGCGAAAATAAACGGCTGCCCATAGCAAGTCTCTGCTCGCCAGGGAAATGCCGAAACAGATCAATGCAAGATTTCAATACAGGACTTCAACGAAGGCACCAACCTGGAAATCATCCACTCATTCTTGGAGATTCTCTATCAACTACTCACCATGTTGCTGAACAGCCATGACTGCTACGACGACTGTTTCTTGCAGCTGAAAGCACACCAGCAAAGACAAGTGCCACGTTCTCAGAGTCTATATATAGTGTAGGCAGTCATATACCAGTATGACTACGAGAACCACCACCACCACCACCCACACCACAACGACTATGACTGTGACTCGATGCAAAGACTGCAGTCTTTCGAAGACCCTGGTGATCAATTGAGTTCAACCATCAAGTAAAACTAGAAAATGTACAGAAGCCTGATTCCAGCGTCGGCGCAGTGCACGGGGCATGGATCTAGCACGGAAGTAACCCAGAACATCAAAGATCAG